TATGATGTATGGATTATTGACATGTCACCTCCAGCCTCAGATATCAGGGTCTCAATATAGGTTGTTTGCTGTGTTGATGTCATCTTTAGACGAGTTGCTAAGGTGACAAGTTTGGGTCTTTTTATTATATCACAAGGGATGAAAGCAGGAGTTCTGAGTTGAATATTGATATGATAATGTCTGCTAGCATTCTTAACTTGTAAAACATCATCCAAAGGCAAATTTGTATTCAGAATCATCGCCATTGTCAAGTTCCTCAGGGCGGTCACTGTTAATTAGCTCTTCACCGCATTTTTTGTCACCGGAATGCCTTTAATCACTTCTTTTTTTTTAAACATCTTTGCTTCAAACAAAGCTGCAAGCAACCACTATTAGAGTTAAAAGTTACTTGGAAGTGAAAAGATAAAGATTGTAGAGCAAGATAACGATTAACAGACAACTTGAAAGATTGCAAGTTATATGAATCAGGAAAGCAAGATAAAGGAAGCAAAAAGGAATTTTCTTATAGAAAACTATGATTTTTGCCAGCACCAACTTAGCCGAATCCCACTGAGTACGGTTTTCACAAGTATTTACACCATCATTAACATGATACCTCATACATCGCAATACTTGCTGAAATGTTGGAAGATGCGCTCCAGTTATTTCCGCGTCTTCTGCCTTGATCTTGTTGCCAATATCACAGACAAATTCCTTGTACTTTTCCTAGCAAAAGTTTTTGGAGAATGTAGTTCCGATTCTATATCATCAGAAACAGGTTGTTTTTTTTTTGTAATTCACCTCCCCAAAGCCGAGAAGGGCACAACTACATGTGAGGAGGCTACTTGTGTTTATAACCCTCTCTCAACTCTAAAACTCCGAAACACGAACCTTGACAAACAAGGTCGCTGCGCGGAGAAACAAGTTGAGCGTGGTACTACCAGTGATGTGGTGGGAATCAAACTCCAAACCCCTCGCTTTGCGAGAGGTTTGGAGTTTGATTCCCACCACATCACTGGTAGTACCACGCCATACCATAAAGGGAGCGCTCTACCACTACACCATTACCGCATAACACATGTACATGATATAGCAGCTACTTGTTGGCCATCTTTAATAATTCTAACTGAATGATAGACATCCAAAATATCCATTTTCAATACATTAATCTGAAAATAATAATTCAGTAATTGCACTGAACATCTATAATGAGCATACAATGTTATACAATAGAAAACTATTATGCATTCCTTCCGAGTCTAAATTAATTGATGCAAAAGACTACATACATCATCAAATATATACAGTATACAATAACCTCAAAGCCTGTTTTTTTTGAAATAGAGGTGGGACACCTAAATATATTCTAACTTTTTAAATATTTGCACAGGGTTATATGGATGATGAAAGGAACATTTTAAGCTTAGGGACAAGACATTTTGAAAGAAAAAGGGGCAAAATGATGCACCCTAGCATAGATGTATTCATAATATATTGTTTTCAGTTTAGGATGTTAAATCTTGGATATTCTTGACTTATTACATGGGTTTTGCTTGTGTTTCTGTTTTTATGACAAAGCAATTCATTCTATTATCTCCTAATGAAGTTACAGTTCTAAAACCCAGTTTTATGGTTCTGAGGTTGGCTGGTAATCTGGTTTTCCGAACTCTGTGATAGCTCTCAAAGAGACAGGGTCTATCAACAGCTGTAAAATATCAGAGTAATAACCATGTCATGTTGCATTGTTAAAGCCACTTTTGGAGCCCTTTGTTATGGCTTAGGGTTTATTAACAGTAATAAGACAATTGCTAGGACTAGTAGATTGTATATTGATTACTACCTGTGTTTTTTCAAACATATAGTACTATATGTTTGAAAAAACTTAGTCATTATTTAAATTGGGTCAAGTTCTTTCACCAATTTAAATAATGACTAAAGTATCAAAAACTATTAAACTTAAAAAACCATTGTCACCACCAAGTTCTCTAAATCTATCATTCACTAATATTCATGGTCTTTGAAGTAACTTTTCTTGATGGTTACCTTCCTTATTTCATAAAGACCAATAGTCACATGCTTAGTAAGGGCATTTACAGTCGTAAAAGTTCACCCATTCGTTGGGAAACTAGGTTTGAATCCACAGACTATTCTTTTATGTGTTTTAGTTTAGCGCCACTTCACTCTATCACCTTCCTCTTTGTTCTATATTGCTCATCTTCATCTCAAGACTGCACTCTTTTCAATGTTGTTTCTGACCAAATTGACCAAGCCCTCTCTTGTTACCCTTCAGCCAATATTGTTGTTGGTGGTGACTTTAATGCTCATCACACTGAATGGCTTGGTTCTAGTGTCAGTGACTCTGCAGGCATTAAGGCCCACAACTTTTGCCTTTCTCAATCTGTAACACAAATAATCAACTTTTCCAACTTGTTTTCCAGACAATCCGAATCATTTACCTAATCGACTTGTGTCTTGTTTCTGATCCTAGGCAGTGCTCAGTTTCTATAAACTCACCTATGGGTATGGCCCGCTATTTCCAGGTCACAAAACCTCATATTTCATCTCAAAAATTATGCTTTAGAAACTTCTGGGGAGTCTTTAAAAGTGTCGATAATAAATAACTATTTTTTTAATTTATGAAGTTTAATTCAAAGTAGTTTTAGTTTTTTAACTAGTTTTATAGTTGTTTATTTATAGCTACATTACATTATATTTTGTTGTTAATTATAGTTTATTTAAGTAGTTTATTCAAGTGTACATAATGAATGACTTAAATAGGGATAGCTGTGAAAAAAGTGCTTATTTTCATAGTAAAAAGCTAATGTTTATATTTCTAAATGATGATATTTTCATTCCCATTCCTTATATATCAGAGGCAATTTTTAGAGACGATTTTTTTTTAAAAATGTGTTGAGAACAGTCCAATGCTAACTATTTGTATATTATAATTGTGTCACACAGGTTAAACTGTGTCCGGGGCCAATTTTGAAACATGTCTTATTGCTAACTTTTTTTCTTTTATGTTTTGTATATTATTAAGGTACACAGTAATAATTATAATTAATAACTAAAACAAAACTAGTAGATAAAATAAATGCGATGTTATATATTCTTACACCGACAAATAATATATATTTTGTTAAGATAAAAGTACACTAATTTCTTAATGTAAAAATCAAAATAAAGATAATATAATAACAATTGGCACATTTTTATTATTTTGAGAAAAACAAAACAAAAAAATAATCATCCGGCAAAGAAATTTTTAAATATCAATAATTTTGTAATCATAAATAAAGATGATGAACAGCTTTTTAATTTATACTAACATAGTTAGATTTGTACTTTTTTCATGAAAAATTTTTGGGACAATGATTTGTGATTGTGGCAAAAAAAACAACTTCTATATCTTAAAAAACACAATTGTCAAATTCTGAAATTATAAATGAACTAAATGCGCTTGAAATAAATTATGTGAAATGAAATCTGAATATTGCAGTGAATATTATAAAGACTCAGAGACTCAGAGAACCAAGAAAAGATATAGAAGGCGAACTTCAACTAAAATAATAATTTTTGTTTTATTGATATGCATTTATTATTTAGTTTTAAATTTATCCCAAATGTTTTTTTAAATATTTTCTTTAATATAAACACAACTTATCTTGTCACTTAGGGATCCCTTAAAAAAAGGAAACTGTAAGTAATTTTTTTCAGTTTTGTTTTTGAATACTAACTTGTTTATTATAATAAGCATTAACTTTTAAATTATCAACAAATAAAAATTTTTTTGTTGTTGATAGAATGTAAAAATTTTAAATTGAATTACATTAATGTTAACTAAATTAAAAAAATCTTAATTAAAAAAAATATAACTTTCCAGCTTTATTTATTATTTATTATTTATAATTTACAAGAAATTGCACCAAAACAATACAAGTAAAAACATACATAGTAAAAACATATGCCTCAACATGATAAAAAATTCTTCACAAGCTATTTACAATACAAAGCTTTAGTTTTTCGCAATGTATTAATTACTGAAGCAAAATTAAAAAACAAAAACATTTATGCCTATATGTTATTCTAGAACATTTTAAAAAGTGCTAAAATACATTGTTAGCAAAACTATGGTGCAGATGCTGCTCAACTTTATAATAAAACACTATTGTTTATTTTATCATCATAATGGGATTTAATATAATAATACAGTATTGTTTATTTTATCATCATAATGGGATTTAAAAGAACCTACTATTTTTCAACCCATAGTCCCTGGCCACTTTTACATAAGAACCTTAAGTTCCTGTACTAGATTTGCTTGCCCAAATTAGTACACAAGTCTCAACACTTTTGGATCTCGTGGACACCGAAGACCAAAAAAAAACTTGTAATTTTAAAAATAATAAATAATAAATATGTGAATTTCAAGACCATACATCAGTACAAATGCATGTTACAAATCAGTACATGTCACACATCAGCACAAACACAATGCCATAATCAACATAAACACAATGCCACAATCAACACAAACACCATCACACAACCATCAACACAACCATCAACACAACCATCAACACAACCATCAACACACCATCAACACAAACACACATCAGCACAAACACAATGTCACACAACAACATAAACACAATGTCCTACATCAGCGCAAACACAATGTAACCAATCAGCAAAAATACAATGTCCCACATCAGCAGGAACATAATGTCCCACATCAGCACAAACAGAAATGCCACACATCTAGACAAACATAGTGTCACACATTAATGCAAACACAATGTCACACATCACCACAAAAATAATGTCACATATAGCACAAACAGAATGTCACATATCAAAACAAATATAGTGTCAAACATCAACACAAACACAATGTCATAAATTAGTACAAATACAAGATTGACCCACCAATAAAAACAAATCTTATCAATAATTTGATTAAATTGTAATATTTTTTAATTAAAAAAACTTCAGTAAAAAAGTACACTAAATAAAAATACCATCATGGCGATGTGAGAGACTTTCAGAACTCTCTGGTTTAGGTGGCTCTGATACGCCAATGCCAAAGAAATCAAGCAGAATGACCCATGTTTGTAAATTAATTACAATATCCAAACTACATATGTCAACATTGACAGTTTTATTCTAAAAATTCATATCTTTTAAAAGTATAATTAAACACTAACTGTGAGAACATATGTATTTATAATTGATATAAATCAATTACAAAAACATAAATAAAGTTTTAAATTTTATGTTTAATAATTAATACTGAAAAACTTAAAAAATCATTTTATAATTACAAAAAATTAAAAGTATGCACAAATAAACAAGCATTAATAACACAATTACACAAAATAAAAAATATATATTTGCATTTATTATAGCTTGACTTGTAATGAACTGTTTTATTTTTTTATTTTAATTCACCTCCTCAAGGCCGAGAAGGCCACTACAAACGAGGAGGCTACTTATTTGTGGCTATAACCCTCTCTCAACTCTATAACTCCAAAACACAAACCTTGACAAGCGGCCTTGTTGACAAACAAGGCCGCTGCGCAGAGAAATGAGTTGAGCGCGGTACTACCAGGGACGGGTGGGGATCGAACTCGGAACCACTCATTTATGAAGCGAGCGCACTACCACTACACCACTACCGCATAATGTTATGCTGTCGATGATTTAGATTGACTTGTAATGAAGTATTTAAGCATACACGCATTATCTCCAGGTGATATTAGTACAAATGCTAGCAAGTTTGCTATTACTGCACATTTAAAAAACGTTAAGCATGAAAAACTTTGAACATACGCATTTCAAGTCATTAATTATTCTTGTTCTTAAGTTAGAAGTATTTCTAAAAACAATTTATAATATAAACAATTAAAGCAATCTTAATAGCAAATCTGCATCAAAGTTTTCTTAAAATTTAAAGATGGCAGGATTGGGAGTTACGAGAGACACTCTTTTTATTGCATACAATGAAAATATTATTGATGACAATTATTATGCAACACTAATAGATCTAAAAATGATTACCCTTATTGGAATTACAAACATTTTGAACTAGATGAAATAGATGATTCTGAAGCATTGTCAGAATTTCGATTTAAAAAAATAGATATCTATAGATTGAAAGAAACCTTGGATTTTTCCAAGATATTTTAAATACATACAACTGTTATTCTGTGAGTGGAATTGAAGCTCTCTGCATTTTATTAAAACGATTTTCTTACCCTTGCAGATATTCAGATTTTATTCTGAGGTTCAGTCACCAGATTCCTGATTACAGCATTATTTATAATCTTGTTATTGACAAAATTTTCAGTCATTTTAGTTATTTGCTAAATGATTTTGACACGCAACTATTTTCTTCCATTAAGTTAGAAAAATATTCCCTTGCAATTTCCCAGAAGGGAGCAACATTAAGAAATTGTTTTGGATTTATTGATGGTACTGTCCACCCTGTTTGCAGACCTCATTTAAACCAACAAATTGATAACAATGGTTACAAAAAAATACACGCTCATAATTTCCAAAATGTTGTTTTACCCAGTGGAATGATTCCTAATATTTATGGACCTGTTGAAGGCAAACACCATGACTGCAGTTTACTTAGTCAAACTTGTTGCCTAAACTAAACAGATATGCTGCCAACACAACTTTGTTATTATGGTTATGGTGCTTATCCATTGCAGATAAATTTACAATGTCCATTAAGGAACAATAGAAAAACTCCTCAAGCAAGCTGCATTTAATAAATCAATGAGCTAGGCTCGAGTGGCAGTAGAATGGATATTTGGAGATATAAAATGTATCTTTTGTGTGCATTATTGACAAATGCAAGAACCTCTTTATATTGAAACGCAACATCAATATTTTTAGTTTTTCAATTAACGCAGCAAACAAAACAACCTGCTATTGCATTTGTTGCTGATGCATTTGAAACTGCTGGTTCATTTGCTGTTGTTGCATTTGGAGTTGCATTGCATATTTTGCATTATACCATTCATAAGACTTTTAGAATATTCAATCTCATCTTTTTTAATTTGTAATTCTTCTTTTCGAAGTTTAAAGTCTTCTGCATTTTGCACCTTCATTGTTGCATTTTTTTCAGTCGAAAATTTTAGATTGTCTGTCCCAGATTGTTGCTTTTGTTGCATTGGGAACATATCTCCATGTTTAATTTTTCTTTTTTTAGTTTCACTGAATGTTTTGATTGCTACTTGGCATAATTTGTCTGGCTTTTTTTTCCCCTCAGATTCCTTTAATTGCTTCACTTTACTTTATGTTTTCGTCAACTCTTTACACATCACAATGTTGTCAAATATTTCGTCAAGGAGAATATCTATTTTGTTCTCTACCACTTCTGCCCTAGACCCTTTGTTTTCTATGCTCTTCTAAGATTTTTTTTTCAAAATTAGTATGTTAAAGTGATCTATGACAGACTTCGACGTAATCGAAGTTCTAACTAAATTTTTGTTCAAATTGTCTGCAATGCTTGCCCATCCTGTTGAACTTTCTTTTATCCCTTTTGTAATTGGTAAGGTCTACTACATTTTCTTTTTCGTTTCAATTTTGCCTTTAAACAGTATCCATATTAAATTAATAAACTTCAAAACTATAAAAAATATCACTCAAAATAAAAGTATGAGTTTTAAACTCATTAACTATTCATGAAGCGTACATTTTTGAGCAGTGGTAAGAAATAGGATTTCTAGTCTACGTCTAAAATTGTTTTCATGAATCAATATTATGATGTAAATGTTTTCAAGAGATGTCAAATACCAAAGCAAAAATTAGTATTACTACATAAAACTTAATCAAGTTATGGTTTAAAATATTTTTTAAATAACATCCTGAATAAAAACAATGAAAATACTCTAAAATCCTTCAAAAAAGGGGGGTGGGGGAGGCATTAACATTTGGAAATTTTTCCACCAACACCAATCTTATTAAGACTTCCCTGTTTATTAACATTTACTTTTTATCAAAAAAAACTTTTTATCTCAAAACTAAAAAAAAAAATAGTGAAAATTGGCTTTTCCTTTAAAAAATTAGAAAATAATTGTTTCAGTCACTGATAAAAATCAAAAAACTTTTAGTGTAAACAAGCTTTAAAAATCATCAAACTAGTCCAAAAAAACATCGAATTAGTAAATTTCAATTTTTCGAAAATGAGCTTTTGGTTTATTTCTCACCAAAAGATAAAACTTATATCAGCATATTTAATCCTATTGAAATTATGTTAGAAAATGCGGATTTGACTGCAAGTCATGCTAGAATTTATTAGTTTTATGCGTAATAGTTTGGATTTATAAACTGAAACTTTTTGTAAAAAATATTTATATTGTAACATAAAAAAATACACCCTCCTTTTATTAACCCCCCCCCCCCCCTATATTAGATTTTGAGTAAAATTCCCGCCCAACTTTTTAATATCCCCCCACCCCCTCTCCTTGTAATAAGGCCTCCAGAGTAACAATGATGATTTGTAAAAGACAACAACAACAAAAAAATGCTTGGGCGTTTTATTTGCTTAACACCAATAAAACACAGATACTTTACAGATACATGGGCACTTTTATATTCCAGGTACCCAGGCTTTGTGGCTCAATATAAAGTAAAGATTGTTAAAATGGACATAAAAAAATACTTTTATTTTGAACTATTTGTTTTTAAAAAAAGTAATTAACCAAACCTTTCCGTTAGTTTTACTATTTTCAAATAAAATCTCAATAAAAATAAGAGGTCCATCTCGGTTCAATGAAACATCTTTGTTCTCATCACAACCTTCATAAAGATCTTCATATGAAATGCTATGAGTAAGACTTGGAAGTGATTTGGAAAAATACTTCATATTTAATAATTCTGACTCAGTTGGACATGATGAACTAAAAGTCTGCTGAAAAGTTCTTCCTATCCAAAAATAAAAATATGTTTATAATATATATATATATATATATATATATATATATATATATATATATATATATATATATATATATATATATATATATATATATATATATATATATATATATATATGACAGTAAAAATAAAAATATGTTTATAACATTTTAACATTTATATATATATATATATATATATATATATATATATATATATATATATATATATATATATATATATATATATATATATATATATATATATATATATATATATATATATATATATATATATTAGGGTGCATCACAAAACAACAATTTAAAAAATTTTGATTTTGGCTAACATAATTGTGTTGTGTATATTAAAAAAACACTGGATTTTAAATATTTTGGTAAAAAAAATTTTTTTAGAAGTCCCACAACACCCTTGAATATTTAATGAGTCCCTAATATTTTCAGAAAAATAGGTTTTTTAAATTAGGTCATGTTTAGTCTTTAATGAAGCGAAAGTTTATAAAAAATTTGAAAATAATCAATATTTTATAAAAAAAATGTTTTTTCAGATTTTTCTGTTATAGATATGGCAAATAAGAAAAAAGTGTGAATGTTTTTGTTATTTTTGTTGAAGAAAAATCTAAAGTAATGTTATTTTTATAAAATAATGATTATTTTAAAATTTTTTACAAATTTTGCTTCATTTAAGACCAAACATGACCTAATTTAAAAAAACTATTTTTCTGAAAATATTAGGGACCCATTAAATATTCAAGGGTGTTGTAAGACCTCTAAAAATATTTTTTTACCAAAATATTTGAAATCCAGTATTTTTTTAATATATAGAACACAATAAGATGTCAGACAAAATCAAAATTTTTAAATGGTTGTTTTGTAATGCACTCTAATATATATTAGGCTAAATGAGGTCAGCAATAATTTGCTGACCTCAATCTTTTTGAGGTCAGCATCAGGTCAGCAAAAACTATTTGATACAAAGGTCTGACCATGAAACATAGAAAGGAGGTCGCCAATTTTTTGCCAACTTCAAACACTTTCAGGTTGGCGGTTAGGTCGGCATTGCCGAATGTCAAATCTAATTCTGAGGCTTGATATATATTATAATTTAATGAGACTGTTGTAATTTAGTTTCATTCCTATACAGCAATTATCAGCCATGAAACACAAAATCAAAAACTAAAAATAACAAAAGATGATGAAGTGAGTTCTTCAAGTCTGTAAAGAGTCAAACACCATGTTTGTCTCTTTAACGACTTGCTAAATCATCTTTTGCAATTTTTAGTTTTTGACTTTGCGTTTCATGGCTGACTAGGGTTGAGCTTTTACCATTTTTTTACCATTTTACCTGTAAATTTTTTTTACCAATTTACCAGTAAAGTTTGACGATAAATGGTAAAAGTTAAGAAAAAAGCATTTTAAGCTTTTTCTGCCATTTTAATCTAATATTCATATCAAAACGAACAAATTTTGAACTTTTTAATTAATTTTTCCATTACAAATGGCGCCTGATGCCACTTGATGCATCTTATGAATTAAAAGAAAGTGTTTGTGTTTATTTTTTTTTATTCATTTTTTATGCAATTTTATTCAATAATTTTAAATCAATATTATTATTTATTTAGTCAAGTAGTACTTAAGTCAGTCAACTGACACATAAAATAATTACAGTTTTCATAAAAAAATGTGTGGAGTATGGAAACATTATGAAAAAGATCTTTGCAAGATATGTTGGAACATATGTTGGAAAAAGTGTTTGCAAGATATGTTGGAACAAAACTCAGTTCACAGGATCTACAACAGAAATGTGGTACCATCTTGGTCAAAAACATGAGATAAAAAAGCTCCAGCACAAGAAAGAAACAAGAAAACCCAAAACAGCCCCCAAAATCTCAACATTTTTTTAGGAGTCAATTGGTGAAGTTCTTTCAAAACTGGCAGCCTTGGATGGATTAAATGCTTTAACCAAAAGCACATTCATTTGGTCGGCAATGACAGTAAAAGGCTACAATTTCCCAAAAAACCACAAACAAGCCATTCAGCTGGTGAAAAACTATTCTGCCAGTGTTAAAGCTGAGTTGAAAAATCAACTCATTGTTGTTGACCGGAGAACATTGGATGAATACACATCCCTGAAAAACCGAAGATTTATCAACATCAACATTCACCAGAAGAACAAACACTGGAACCTTGGACTCACACGTTTTTGCGGATCTTTCCCTGCAGAAAAAGCAGCAGAAGTTGTCTCAGAGAGAGCGGAAGAATTTGAACTGAACTTGGCTGATTGCATTGTTTGTTCTGTCACTGACGGGGCTTCAATGACGGTCAAGTTTGGGAAAATTGTTCCTATCGAACATAAAACTTGCTACACTCACTGGTTTCATCTCACTAATTTCACTGGTTTCATCTGGCCGTTCAGGAATCAGGAAGTTTTGTACAAAAAAAATCAGAGCAACAATTTGGACGAGGAAAAGATGGAGAACAACAATGACGAGGAGGAAGATTCAGATTCGGACAACGAAGAAAATTCCAGATTCATTGATGACAAAATCAATGTAAGCATTTCTCTCCCGAAGGTCAAAGTTCATTTCCAGTCTGTCATCATCAAAGTTAGGAAGATTGAACAAGATGGAACAGCCTCTTGGCAATTGGCAACTGAAGCTCTTTGCAGGAAAAATAACACCCTGTTAACAGCAGGGGGAATCTTCAAGTTTCTGATCAATAAATTGAATCAGAAAAAATCCAGTCTTTGCATCAGAATGAAAGATGTTGTCTTAAAGCGATTTACAGAGAGGAGACAAAACAACTTGGTCAGTCTGTACAAATATTTGTCCAACCCAGACTGCCTTCATGAAATTGAAGAGCATGAAATTTTCAACATGCCTTCCAAGACTGTTCTTCAGAGAACTGCAAAGTCATTGCTTTTCAAGGCCCCACAAAAGACATTTAAATCCTGGATCAAGTAGAGAGAGGCAAAGGACGAAAAGAAGCTGAAGAACAACTTTCTCTCCAGGAAGAGTTGGAAGAGACCATCGAACATTCAGCCAAAAAGCAGAAACATAACTCAAATGATGAATTTAAGACCATTTTAAAAGAAATGATGGTCTTTGAAGCCACCAGCAAAAGAACTGCAAACCTTGAGCTGTTATTCAATGCTCTGGAAACTATCCCTTCCACAAGTCTTGAATCGGAGAGAACATTTTCTGCTGCTGGACTATTTGTCACAAAAATTTGATTCAGAATAAGTGATGACCTACTTGACACTGTGCTTCCTTAAAGCCCATTTTTTGTTGAAAAATAAATCCTAAAATTGCTGTTTTTGTGTTTTATTCATAACTATGTCTTAATTATGTTAAAGAGTCATTATGTTAAAGAGTCATTTAACATTTTTTTACCATTTACCGGTAAATTCCTTTATTTTTACCAATTTACCAGTAAATTATAAACCCGGTAAAAGCTCAACCCTATGGCTGACAATTACTGTATAGGAATGAAACTTAAATTAGAAAAAGGTGGTTTTTTTTACCATAGAAACCTTTTTATAGCAAACAAAAAGAAAGCAAAAAATTAGCTAATCAATGGTGTTAAAATAAAATATATATTTATTTGTGCCTGCATTTAAAAATTGATATATATATATATATATATATATATATATATATATATATATATATATATATATATATATATATATATATATATATATATATATATATATATATATATATATATATATATATATATATATATATATATATATATATATATATATGAAAAATTTTCATACAGTAAAGAAGTCGAATTTTCATTAATAAAGAATTTTGTAAAAAATTTTAAAAATATTTATTTTAATATATCCATCAACTTTAATTTTAAAATACTAAATAATATAAAATATTATTTTAATAAATAATATGGAGTTAACGTTATATCTTAATGTTAACTCCAGATTCAGTTCTTTCCAACATTATTGCAAGCCAGATAATTCTATCAGCTATATACATGCTGACTCCAACCTAGTCCTCCTTCTAGCATAACAAAATGTCTTAAACAAACTATCGAACTAAGATTGTCAACCAATTCTTCAAATAAAAGTGCTTTTAAAAAACACCACCAAAGTTTGTTTAACCTAGCCAATCGAAATTAAATGACGCTGAATAGCAAATATCCATAAAACTTTGGCTATAAAGTTTAACAAACAGTACTACTCATTTAACGAATAGTACTATTTGTTAAACAAATAATAATGTTCATCAAGTGAATAAGTACTATTTGTTTAAAAAATAGTGTTAGATCCTCATAAAACTTTGTCAATAAATATACTATTTGCTATTGGTTCCACTATTCATTAAAATCCAGTTTAAAATTCAAAAACTTGTTTTTAGTTTCTTTTTTTTTTTAATGATTACTGAACAAATAATCTCCTACAGACATTATTATTGATATTTATAATTCTTTCTAGACATTAATATTGTTGTAACATAAATTATTATATTTGGATATTTTACCCACACCAAGGAATTTTCATGAGAATGCAGGTAAAGGTTGTTGCACTAAACTTAAAAATCAGATAATACAAAATAAAACATTATTGATATTTATAATTTTTTCTAGACATTATTATTGTTGTAACACCACACCAATTAATATTGTTTACCCACACCAAGAAATTTTCATGAGAATGCAGGTAAATTTGTAGCACTAAACTTAAAAATACAAAATAAAACATCAAATAGTAAAGATTATTTAATAAAAAGATATTAACAAGTTGCTGCTTTTTTTTTTAATATTATTTCATTATTAATAAAATTTTAGTGTCCCTCCTTTGATCATATTTTTATTTAAGTGACATATCCATCACTAGTTTATAATAATAATAATTATTTTTATTTACCTATTTTTTTTTTTTTTTTTTTTTTTTTATTTACACTGTTATGATATTATTTTTATAATTACTACTATTTTTTACTTACCTGTTATTATTATTCTTCATTT